ATTTTATATCCTGCAACTTTACTGTATTCGTTGATTAGCTCTAGTAATTTTCTGGTAGAGTCTTTAGGGTTTTCTATGTAGAGGATCATGCCATCTGCAAACAGCGAGAGTTTCACTTCTTCTTTTCCTATCTGGATTCCTTTTATTTCTTTTTCTGCTTTGATTGCTGTGGCCAAAACTTCCAAAACTATGTTGAATAGTAGTGGTGAGAGTGGGCACCCTTGTCTTGTTCCTGATTTCAGGGGAAATGCTTTCAATTTTTCACCATTGAGGGTAATGCTTGCTGTTGGTTTGTCATATGTAGCTTTTATTATGTTGAGGTATGTTCCTTCTATTCCTGCTTTCTGGAGAGTTTTAATCATAAATATGTGTTGAATTTTGTCAAAGACTTTCTCTGCATCTGTTGAGATAATCAAATGGTTGTTATCTTTCAATTTGTTAATGTGGTGTATTACATTGATTGATTTGCAGATATTAAAGAATCCTTGCATTCCTGGGATAAAGCCCACTGGGTCATGGTGTATGACTTTTTTAATATGTTGTTGGATTCTGTTTGCTAGAATTTTGTTAAGGATTTTTGCATCTATGTTCATCAGTGATATTGGCCTGTAGTTTTCTTTTTTTTTTTTTTTTTGTGGCATCTTTGTCTGGCTTTGGAATTAGGGTGATGGTGGCCTCATAGAATGAGTTTGGAAGTTTACCTTCTTCTGCAATTTTCTAGAAGAGTTTGAGTAAGATAGGTGTTAGCTCTTCTCTAAATTTTTGGTAGAATTCAGCTGTGAAGCCATGTGGTCCTGGGCTTTTGTTTGCTCAAAGATTTGTGATTACAGTTTTGATTTCCTTGCTTGTGATGGCTCTGTTAAGATCTTCTATTTCTTCCTGGTTCAGTTTTGGAAAGTTAGACTTTTCTAAGAATTTGTCCATTTCTTCCAAGTTGTCCATTTTATTGGCATAGAGCTGCTGGTAGTAGTCTGTTATGAAACAAAAGACCTATACATAGAAAACTATAAAACACTGATGAAAGAAATCAAAGAGGACACAAACAGATGGAGAAACATACCGTGTTCATGGATTGGAAGAATCAATATTGTCAAAATGGTTATACTACTCAAAGCAATCTATAGATTCAATGCAATCTCTATTAAGCTACCAATGGTATTTTTCACAGAACTAGAACAAATAACTTCCCAATTTTTATGGAAATACAAAAAACCTAGAATAGCCAAAGTAATCTTGAGAAAGAAGAATGGAACTGGAGGAATCAACCTGCCTGACTTCAGACTATACTACAAAGCCACAGTCATCAAGACAGTATGGTAGTGGCACAAAGACAGAAATATAGATCAATGGAACAGAATAGAAAGCCCAGAGATAAATCCATGAACCTATGGTCACCTTATCTTCGACAAAGGAGGCAAGGATATACAATGGAAAAAAGACAACCTCTTTAACAAGTGGTGCTGGGAAAACTGGTCAACCACTTGTAAAAGAATGAAACTAGAACACTTTCTAACACCATATACAAAAATAAACTCAAAATGGATTAAAGATCTAAATGTAAGACCAGAAACTATAAAACTCCTAGAGGAGAACATAGGCAAAACACTCTCCAACATAAATCACAGCAGGATCCTCTGTGACCCACCTCCCAGAATATTGGAAATAAAAGCAAAAATAAGCAAATGGGACCTAATGAAACTTAAAAGCTTTTGCACAACAAAGGAAACTATAAGTAAGGTGAAAAGGCAGCCCTCAGATTGGGAGAAAATAATTGCAAATGAAGAAACAGACAAAGGATTAATCTCAAAAATATATAAGCAACTCCTCCAGCTCAATTCCAGAAAAATAAATGACCCAATCAAAAAATGGGCCAAAGAACTAAACAGACATTTCTCCAAAGAAGATATACAGATGGCTAAAAAACACATGAAAAGATGCTCAACATCACTCATCATCAGAGAAATGCAGATCAAAACCACAATGAGGTACCATTACATGCCAGTCAGGATGGCTGCTATCCAAAAGTCTACAAGCAATAAATGCTGGAGAGGGTGTGGAGAAAAGAGAACCCTCTTACACTGTTGGTGGGAATGCAAACTAGTACAACCACTATGGAGAACAGTGTGGAGATTTCTTAAGAAACTGGAAATAGAACTGCCATATGACCCAGCAATACCACTTCTGGGCATACACACTGAGGAAACCAGATCTGAAAGAGACACGTGCACCCCAATGTTCATTGCAGCACTGTTTATAATAGCCAGGATATGGAAGCAACCTAGATGCCCATCAGCAGACGAATGGATGAGGAAGCTATGGTACATATACACCATGGAATATTACTCAGCCATTAAAAAGAATTCATTTGAATCAGTTCTAATGAGATGGATGAAACTGGAGCCCATTATACAGAGTGAAGTAAGCCAGAAAGATAAAGAACATTACAGTATACTAATGCATATATATGGAATTTAGAAAGATGGTAATGATAACCCTATATGCAAAACAGAAAAAGAGACACAGATGTATAGAACAGACTTTTGGACTCTGTGGGAGAAGGCGAGGGTGGGATGTTTAGAGAGAACAGCATGAACATTATCTAGAGTGAAACAGATCACCAGCCCAGGTGGGATGCATGAGACTAGTGCTTGGGCCTGGTGCACTGGGAAGACCCAGAGGAATCGGGTGGAGAGGGAGGTGGGAGGGGGGATCGGGATGGGGAATACATGTAACTCCATGGCTAATTCAAGTCAATGTATGACAAAATGAACTGCAATGTTGTGAAATGGTTGGCCTTCAACTAATAAAAATAAATGAAAAAAAAAAAAAGAAAAAGATTCTAAAAAAAAAAACAAAAAACATTCTTCAGTAGTGTCTTGTAGAAGTTTATTTTTCTCTTGCATATAATTGCATATTCCTTCTGAGATTGATATCTATATAAGATAAGGGTCAAGTTTCATATTGACATCTAATTGACTCAAAATCTTTTTCTGAAATTTTTGTCTCCACTGTGTGCCACCTTTGCCATAAGGAGATGGGCATATGTGTCTAAGTCTTTTTTAGACTCTCTGTTCTATTCCATTGTATCATTTGTCTATCCTTCCACCAATACTGTATTTTCTTAATTATTGTAATTTTATTGTAATTTTATAGTAAATTAAAATTTACAAGAGTTGCTTTATATTAACTAAATATGTTGCCTTTTTTGCCAACTGTGTTGGTCATTCTTGGCCTTTTACGTTTAAAAAATATTTTGGAATTAGTTTGTTATTTTTCACCAAAAGAAACTTCATAAATGTATTTTGATTGAGATTATATTTAATCTACCATAAATTTGAGGATGATTGACTTTGACAGTTTTGAGTCTCCCAATTCACTGACATGACATATCCCTCCATTCAGTTAGGTCCATCAGAGGTTTTGCCCATCTTTTACTAGGTTTTCTCCTAGGTGTTTCATGTTTTTGACATTATTTGTATTTCTTTTAGTGAAAGTGTCCTAGGAGTTAATTCTTTCTGACTTATTTTTACCTTTTAATTTTTTTTTTAATCTTGACCTAATTTGAGACCTGAAAGTTGCAAAAATTCCCAAATGACTTTTACCTGGATCTCCCAATATTAGCATTTTGCTTTAATCTTCCTCTCTTTCTCTCTCTCTCTGTCCCCCTCCTGCCCCATTTCTCCATAAACATGTAAAGTCTTTCTGAATTAGGTTGCAGTCATGATGGCCTTTTATCCCTAAAATTATTCAAGAAATTTCCTTATTAAACAAAGTTCAGTCAAGTCCTCAGCTGACTTCAACCCCAGATGACATCTAAGTGCAACTACAGGAAAGATCCCAAGACACAACTGCCAAGTTGAGTCTTTCTCAAATTACTGACCCAGGAAGACTTAAGAAAATGATGAGTGTGGAGATATATATATTGCTTCAGTGGCTGTTTTTTATAATTTGTTATACAGAAGTGTAATCAGGACACTTACTATGTGGCTTGAACTTCTAAATAGAGATGTATTTGTCTTATGATGTTCCATTTTATTGATTCTCCCTTATGCTGAGCTAATGTGCTGATATGCAAATTCTTTTGTTCTTAATTTCAACTAGTAAGTTATTCAGCTCTAGAATTTTTATTTATTGTTATCATTATTTGTTTTTTTTCCATCAGGGTGCACATTTTGTCAGTTAATTCCATGGGTACTTTAATCAAGGCTCTTTAAATTCTCTGTCAAGTAACTCTAGCAGCTGAGTATCCTGGGGAATTGTTTCTAATGTCTACATTTCCTCTTGGTTTCTCATGAGATCTATTTTCAATAAATGTCTTTTAAAATACAGACATTGTAGATGACAAACTGTAGAAATACTTCAGAAAGTGTTTTATTTTGTTTCTTCTATTTAGGGATAGATTTAGGGACAGAACTTATTTAACTCATCTTAGTGCTTGAGAGAAAAATTGTGGCACTGTCAGAAGTAGAACTCTCCATAGCGAAGGCGAACACTACAGTTATGAAAACATGACTATGTTAACCTGGGCTTCCCTAAAGGCTCAGTGGTAAAGAATCCACCAGCCAATGCAGGAAATACAGGAGATGACATTTTGATTCCTGGTTGGGGAAGATCCCCTGGAGGAGGAAATGTCAATCCATTCCAGTATTCTTGCCTCGAAAATCCCATGGACAAAGGGGCTGGTGTACTACAGTCCATAGGGTCAAAAAGGGTTGGAAACTATTGCGCAACTACGTTACATTTTTCTTCTCAGACCCCACTGCTTGTCGTTATTTAGTTTATTCAGTTTCCTGTTTTTCAATCACCAACACCCTGATCATTGCTGTTTCTGCAGGAAACCAGACCCAGGTGCTGCCCCAATGCACTGACTCCCTGTCAGAACCAGCAGACTCTGCAGCCTCAGAGGAGAGCGCCCTCTACTGCTCAGGTGAGGGTCCCACAGAACAGAAGACCCTTTACAACCCGGTCACCGCCCCATTGTCCCATTTCTCTCTCCTCAGGCCGCAGACAGCTCCGCCTGGTGGACGGGGGCGGTCCCTGCGCCGGGAGAGTGGAGATCCTGGACCAGGGCTCCTGGGGCACCATCTGTGATGACAGCTGGGACCTGGACGATGCCCGCGTGGTGTGCAGACAGCTGGGCTGTGGAGAAGCCGTCAATGCCACGAGGTCTGCTCACTTCGGGGCGGGATCAGGGCCCATCTGGCTGGACGACCTGAACTGCACAGGAAATGAGTCTCACGTGTGGAGGTGCCCTTCCCAAGGCTGGGGGCGGCACGACTGCAGACACAAGGAGGACGCAGGGGTCATCTGCTCAGGTGCGCTCTGCACACTGTCCACAGGCTGGGGGAGGGGTGGGGCCCTGGAGGATGGGGTCTGAGCCCTGATGGAGAGATGCTGAAAGGACCAGAGTAGGAGGCTTCCTCCCACGGAGCCTGTCTTTCCAGTAGACCTGAAGACTAGGTGCTTTCACTTCCTCCTGCAGCAGCTGAGATTCTGGTCCTTTCTTCTCCCCAGTGTTTCCTGGCAGAGCCATTTCTGACAGTTAACACTTGCAAGCACGGCTCTTTCTGCAGATACCTGTGGTAGTAACATCTTGAAATCCTGGGCTCCCCCAGTTGCACTAGTGGTAAATAACCTGCCTGCCAATGCAGGACATGTAAAAGATGCGGGTTCAGTCCCTGGGTTAGGAAGATCCCCTGGAGGAGGGCATGACAACCCATTCCAATATTCTTGCCTGAGAATCCCATGGACAGAGGAGCCTGACATAGTGAAAACTCAGTTTTCCTTTACAGTTCTGTGTGCTAGGAGTTGAAGAGAGTCTCCATGGGCCAACATCCCAGTGTCCACAGGGCTGCGTTCTTCCTAGAGTCTCTGGGAGAACTCCTTTCCCAGCCTTTTGTGGTTTCTGTGTGGCCTCATTTCTTGGCTCCGATCCCTCTTCTTCAACAACAGTGCCTCTTCCAACCATTCTCCCTCATTCACATTTCCCTCTGACTGGAACTGGAAGAGATGATGCATTTCTCAGTGTAGTCGGTTTTAAAATGTGTTAGACGGGGCTCACATAGTTACTCCTCAATATTTGAGCTTTATCTCTCCATCCCAAGGTCCTTATTAATCACATCTGTAAAGTCCCTTTTGAAAGGTAAGGTAACGTGTCAGAGCTTCCAGGATTAGGCTACGGACATCTTTGGGGGTCCGTTATCCTGTCGACCACCTCAGTGTACACATCACATTCTGTTCTTTTAGAAATTTTGTCAGGAAGCAGGAATCAGCTCCTGTCATTGCAGGTGCCCAAGTTGGCCTTGCTCTCTGTTCACATCTACATTGTTGTGGTAGAAATAGGTGTACAGACATTAATGGACAGTCAGGTGAAAGGGAGGCAAAAATCAGTCTTGTCACCCAGTGGGCATCTCCTCTTCTGGGTCAGGAATGTGTGGTCACTATTTCTGGGGGAGAGGAAAACCCAGAGCACTGAGTGCAATGCTCACTGTGTTCCATCCCCTCCATTTCAATCTTAGAGTTCCTGGCCCTCAGGATGGTGAGCGAGGACCAGCAGTGTGCTGGGTGGCTGGAAGTTTTCTACAACGGGACCTGGGGCAGTGTCTGCCGCAGCCCCATGGATGATGTCACCATGTCCGTGATCTGCAGACAGCTTGGCTGTGGGGACAGCGGAAGTCTTAACTCTTCTGTTGCTCTTAGGGAAGATTCTAGACCCCGCTGGGTAGATGGAATCAAGTGCCGGAGAGCTGACACCTCTCTCTGGCAGTGTCCTTCTGACCCTTGGAATTACAACTCCTGCTCTCCCAAGGAGGAAGCCTATGTCTCGTGTGCAGGTGACTTACTGTCTGTTTCTGTGTCACTCGCAACCATGTAGGATGCCGTTAGTATGATTTCCTATTTTCAGATCTAATTGATGGGTTTTGGTTGAGTCTACAAAATGTAGGTGTATATTTGTATTTGTCTCTGTGTCTGTTTGTTTGCTTTTGTTATGGTAAACAACTAATTAGATAAAGTCATTCCAGCTGCTGATAAGATGCAGTGAACCTCTCAGCCAAGTAGATGATGTAGCTTCTGTGGTCTCTTGTCATTTGACTGTGACAAAAAACCTTAGATACTCATGTTTGGGGACAGACCACCCCCAGCTGTCCCTGAAGCAGAGCTTCCCATTGTTGCTTCTGCAGAAAGAAGACCCAAGAGCTGTCCAGCTGCTGCCCCCTGCACAGGTACGTCAGCCCCGCCCCCTCCCCAGGGCTCCCAGGGGCTCCTTCCTCCCACAGGGGAGTCACAGGAGGGGCTGCTGCCTTTTCAGACAGAGAGAAGCTCCGGCTCAGGGGAGGAGACAGCGAGTGCTCAGGGCGGGTGGAGGTCTGGCACAGCGGCTCCTGGGGCACCGTGTGCGATGACTCCTGGAGCCTGGCAGAGGCCGAGGTGGTGTGTCAGCAGCTGGGCTGTGGCCCGGCCCTGGAAGCCGTGCGGGCCGCGGCGTTTGGCCCTGGAAGCGGGAGCATCTGGCTGGACGAGGTGCGGTGCGGGGGCCGGGAGTCCTCCCTGTGGGCCTGTGCTGCGGTGCCCTGGGGGCAGAGCGACTGCAAGCACGAGGAGGACGCCGGGGTGAGGTGCTCTGGTGAGTGAGGGGTGCGGGTCCGCCCTGGTGAGTGAGGGGCGCGGGGTGAGGTGCTTTGGTGAGTGAGGGGCGCGGGTCCGCCCTGGGTGAGCTGGGGCAGCAAGGGGGTAGCAGGCTGAGCTGGGTGTGGTCGGGAGTTTTTATCCCATCCTGGTGCTGGGGCTCTGATATAGGACGGGGGAGCTGGGAGGACTGGACCCTGGTGTTGTGGAGACTGAGGGGTGATTTCAGGCTCAAGAAGGAAAATAGGGCTGCCCTTCATTCTGGTCAATTCCCTTTACCCAAACTCCTGTTTTTCTCTTAGGTGCAAGGACATCATTGCCCCCGACTACAGCAGGTACTGAGATCCATCTATGGGCAGGGGAGAATACTGAGATTCTGGGGACCTGTTCTGTGGGCTCTCTGACACCTGAGGAGAGGAAAGTCGAGGAGGCTCTGGCTGTTGGGGAGGAGCCAGGGTGTTATGCTGGGGAACTCCCCTACCCTGGATCCCAGAGTCAGAAGGTTCTCATGCCCGGGGTCCAAGTGGCTCTGGTTCCCCTGTTGCAGATTCTGAGGTTCTCCCACCTGCCCCTGTGTGTTGCTCCTCATCAGTGAGGCGCAGGTCCCAGGACTGTTCGATGCTCTGTCTGTTAAAGCCCAGGGAGAGGGGATGAGCCAGGTCGTCAGAGGCAGTTTAGGCAGGGCAATCCCTGACAATCCCTGGCTCTGCCTCGGGGCCACACTGGCAGGAGTGAGGTTGGCGTCTCTTGAGGACGAGACCGGGAGGAGCCCAGGCACTGTCAGTGCACTTGTATCTGAGGCGGAGGCACCATTGTCCAGAGCGCCTGGATATTCTGGCACAGAGGGTTGCTCTGCCCAGGACCTTCTCCAACCCTCTTTCCTGTTCTCCTTAGGGACCAGACCAGCCTCAAATCCACTCCCTGGCATCTTCTCCCTGCCTTGGGTCCTCTGCCTCATCCTGGGGGCCCTTCTCTTCCTGGTCCTCGTCGTCCTGGTGACTCAGGTGCTCAGATGGAGAACAGAGCACAGAGGTGGGCTGCCGGGGGAACTGGGGACCAGGGAGCGTGTGTGCAGGCAGGAGATGGGGCAGGTGTGAGGAGGGGAGCCTGGGCCAGGTCTCTGCTCTGAGTTGCAGACTCCATGTGCTCCATGCTGAGCTCTAAGGGCTGAGTAGACAGAGGCTTTTAGGACTGGTATATGAGCTCTCATAAGTCATAGCCTTTCCTGTGAGATGAGACAGAGTTGGGGCTGAGCTGTATTCAGGGCCAGATGAGGGGAAAAGGTGCCAACAGGTGCACTGGGTGGGAAGCTATCCTGAGGTCCCTTCAAGACCTGTGTGAGCACTGGGGAGATAAAGGGTGTCTCTGCTGGTTCAGGGTGTCTGGGCCAGCATTTCTGACCTGCTGGGGGATCTCTGAGCCTGCTGAACCGGGGTGTCTGGGGTAGCATCTCTGACCTGCTGGGGGATCTCTCAGCCTTCTCCAGCTATGAAGATGCTCTTGCTGAAGCAGTGTATGAGGAGCTCGATTACCTTGTGTCACAGAAGGAGGGTCTTCTGGACAGCCCAGGTGGGTGTCTCTGCCTACCCTCCTGGGACCTCTGATTGTCACCTCCCATTGGCTGTGTGCATCTTCTCAGCATCTGCAGCCCCCACGAGTGCCCCAGACTCACAGAGGCAGCTCCTCCAAAGTGGTAGGATGGCCTCTCAGAGCCCTGAGAGCCCCCAGCCTCTGTCTACACTGCATGAACCAGGCCTGTTACTTCTCAACCTTAACACTGGTCCCTTGGGTGTGGGGAGGTTCATTCTGTGTGTTGTGTGATGTTTGTCTCCACATTAGGCTTCCTGTCAGATGGTGAAGACAACGATGACTCCAGATCTGCTCCAGGTAATAGAGATGGACCTGCCTCAGCTGGGTGTTGGGGAGGAGAGTTTCCATCATAGATATGAGAGGCAAGGGAAACAGTCTTCCTTTGATGGAGCAGTAGCATCCCTTGATTCGAGATGGAGTCCACCCTTCCCCTTCTCTGGCTGTTCTGTGATGTCTCACATTTGGAGCTGGGCTCTCTGTGTCCAGAATCACAACAGACACACAATGTTTCTAAAAATAACATCTTGAAAGCACTATCTGTGAAAACGCTTTAGTCATGCTTATGGTATATGAGTTCCTTTGAGAAAGATGTGTAAAATCATGTTTTGGCTTATGAAGACTTCAAACTGAAACATGGTCTCAGAAGAGGAAAGATCTTTTGAAACAATGTGCCTCTATATAGCAACTCAGAAATTCTGGGTCAAAAGGGATCGTAGGTATTTCCCAGACAAACCCACTTACCGTGGTTTCATCTGACCCCTGCTCTGCCCTCAGAAACCCCAGTTCAGAGGACTGATGCCCCTGGTGAGGATTATGATGATGCTGAAGAGGTACCCGTGCCTGGGGCTCTTCCTGCCTCTCAGGTGAGCGAAGAGGAAGTGCTCCCAGTGAAGGAAGATGGGATGAGATCTCACACAGGTGAGTGGGGTTAGCTCATCTCCTGCAATCTTCAGTCTCTGTCCTGAAAATGGTGAATTTGATCTCCTCAATGCCTAGACTTTCTAGAATTTCAAAACATCAGTAATCTCATGCATTTGATGGGCTTCCCTGGTGTCTCAGATGGTAAAGAATCTGGCTGCAATGCAGGAGACCCGGGTTTGATCCCTGGTTGGGAAGATCTCCTGGAGAAGGGAATGGCAACCCACTCCAGTATTCTTGCCTGGAGAATCCCATGGAAAGAGGAGTCTGGCAGGCTGTAGTCCATAGGGTCACAAAGAGTTGGACGTGACAGTCTCAACCGTATACTGTCTTTAATGCTATCACAGTCCTTGGCAGTGAGAAATCATTCTCCTTTTGGCATTTAAGTCTCCATACTGCAACATAAATTTTCACTTTATATGTGATATGCTTGCATTAAAATGTACCGATTAGGGCATTTCCTGACAATCCAGTGGTTAGGACTCTGTACTTTCATTGCTAGGACCTGAGTTCAGTCCCTGGTCAAGCAACTAAGATCCCACAAGCATTGTTCAGTGGCCAAAAGGAAAAGAAAACTTGATTGTTCAAGCATATTTATGAAATCTACAAATAGATCAAGTTTTTTGATATCTCCTCTGTGCTGTCTTATACATGAAAGGTAGTCAACGATTTTTTTAAATGTAGTACATTATTGAATTTGTGAGGTATTCTGATAATTTAAGATGAGCTCTGTTTATATGTCAGCACTAACATACAAAATCTATGATGTGCAATGGCCTTAACATTAAGCCATGTTGGTAGTTCATAGACCAGAGTTTGTGGTCATCTACAGTCTAATTTGCTCCAGGCTTTTCAGTAGCCTAGAGAAGACACTCATTCTCTAGAAAGAGCATTTCATTTCTACATCTGAGGGCCTGTGTGGTCCCTGGGAAGGGACCTCCTGTGGTTGCACCTTGATATGATTTGTGGGCATTTGGGAACAGGAGTTAACAAAGAGCAGAGCTGGCTTGTGAGTGAGGAACACAGACTTTCCTGTCTCCGCTCTCCCTCTCGTGGTGATTTCATGTCTGTCAGTTGTGAGAGGAGAACATTAAATTCATTGTTATGTTCTTACCATTCCTGGGCATCTCCTTGCTGATTGTGTAGCCTGAAGGCAGGTCTTCCCAAAGCTCTTAGGTGAGCACAGGTCTCCTGTGATGCAGGGTTTGTACATGAGCTGACGCTCCAGAGACCACATGGACCGGATCTGAAAGGACAGCCCGGGTCCATCCTCCCTGTAACTGACGTGAAATAGTCTGAGTCTCCCGCCCAAACCTGGGTCCCAGGGGTGCTTTGTTATCACCACTTAATTGACTCACTTCCACAACATGGCCTGGTCCCTCTTGTCTCAGTTCTAATCATACTTTTCTTTACTATTTCAGTCTCTTCTCTGTTCATCTTTGGAGAGGAAGCTGATCCTGGGGAAGGAGAAGAGAGGCCCTGGCTGCTCCAGGGGAACAAAGGGGACCCTGGGTATGATGATGTTGAACTCAGTGTCCCGGGAACATCCACAGTGACTTTCCCATGATGCTGTATTAAATATGAGATGAAGCCTCAGATATTCTAATTGCCTGTATTTCAATAGAGTAATGCTGACCTGTATTTGTGTTATATGAAAATTGTTCAAAATGAAGTAATCTGAATAAAGTAACTTTTTGCTGTGTTGCTAATTTAGCAAGTTCCAGGTCAAATGCTTTGAAAGGATTGGTCTGGTTCTCAAACACCATTTTCCTCAAAGGAAAACAAGGTGTACTGCCCTGTTTTCTCACCTCCTTCAAAGGCTAATGAGGCCATGACTGTGCCTGGGATCACAAATGCTCCAGGCCACTCTTGCTTAGAAAAAGCATCTAAACTTGATCCACATTCACACCCTCTTTCCTAGCAAGATGAACTTATCAACCAAAAAATATATTCAGAACCTGATAGAGTTAGTTTATTTGGTGGGAATGTTTAGGACTCCAGGCCCTGGAGACTGCTTCTCAGTAGCTCTAAGAAAACTGCTCCAAGTAGGCAGGAGGGCAAGTCAGGCTGTATACAAGTTTGCAACAAAGGGAGCAGGCAGTCTCAACATCAAAGATCAGGTATCAAGTTAAGGAAGTTAGCATTCTGTTTGTGGGAAGATGCTAGCCTCTAGACTCGCTGAATTCATTCCTTTCATATGCACCTCAGCTATCTGGGGCCAATCCGGTTTCCTTGTTCACCTTAAAGTATGGCAGATGGCTGCTTCTTGCATTGTCCCAGCTCCTCAGCAATCACCATGCAGGGGGTGGCAGCATCCCCTGGATCACAGTTTTGGAGGCCTTCATTCACATTTGAAGGCCAGAAATCGCTGATGGCTGTGACATTTCTTGTTTATTTATATGGCAGGAGATATTTTCACTTCACAAACTCATGGAAAAAACCCAATCCTGTATGTTCTTCTCTGAGATGTCACATCACCTGTTTTTAACCTATTCTTGGGCACCAGACTTGGATGTGAGTTTCAACATGGGACATTGGCTGGTGAGAGAGAATGGATACAGCTTTCCTTATCCTGCCTAAATTTTCATGGACCAGTTAAAAATCTAACTCTAGGTAACTGCATCTCCCTTTTTCATTACTCATTCCCTAGGTTACTTTATCTGTTTATTCCTCAAGCACATATAGATTCCTTTTTGCTCTTCTCCCATTGTCTAGTTGGTTATCAAATCCTTATGAATCCATTCTTTCCATCCCTTTGTGCTATTTCTTCAGGATGTTGCTATTTCTTGTCTTTCCAGTAATCTATCCTTCTGAGTGAATTATATCAGCTCATATCTCTTTCTAAGTTGATGTTGGGCAAATTGGTGCTCACCACACCCTGCATCCAGGTAGAACAAGAGGGCAAGAAAGTGGAGACCTAGGCAGAGGGGATGCAGAAGAAGGGAAGTAGATGGGAAGATCAGGAACATTTGGGTATTTATGTTTCAAATATGTGGATGGATGTGTCTGATACAATTGAAAACTTAAAGGAAGAATTTGAGAGTAGTGAACTTCTCTGCAAACATTGTTTCAAGATTGTGTTAATCTGGTTACTATTGAAAATGTAACCGTGATCCTGCTGTGATTCTTCAGGGTAGAGACAGCTGTCATATAGGAGTGGCCAAGTAAATATCACCTTTACACAATACATAGCCCCCCACCCCCATTCCATTGTGGACATGTGGAGAAGCTGCTGAACTAATATAAGAGCTGAGAGTGCTGGTCTGGCTGTGAGCTGAGTCCACCCAGTTACTGCTTGATGGCCTGCATGGTGTCCAGGGCTCCAACCTACGCTCACACTTGCAGTCTTCGTAGTTCTAGGCTGTGCTTGGGAATGGGAAATTGCCCAGGACTTCTCCCAGGGCAGGTCACATGGCTATTCACCATTTGGAAGTAATGAAATAAATGATGTATAATGAAAGAAATAAAGTATACCCACCAAGAAGCTAAGTGAACTCCAAAAAACACAGATAAACAATCCAATTCAAGAAAAGAATATGTGAACAAAACGAGATTAAAAATATTTCTTATCATTATTATTATTATTGTTTTTAATTTTTGGTTGCACTGGGTCTTTGTTGCTACACATGGGCTTTCTCTAGTTGTGGCAAGCAGACACTACTCTTCTTTGTGGAGAGCAGGTTTCTCTATGTGGGGGCTTCCCTTGTTGTGGAGCACAGGCTCTAGGTGCTCAGGCTTCAGTAGTTGCAGCGTGCAGGCTCCCGTTTGCGGTTTGCAGGTCTTAGAGCCAGGGCTCAGTAGTTGTTGTGCACAGGCTGAGTGGCTCCACAGAGGAAAGTGATTGTTTTACAGAGACATAAATCATAAAAAAGGAAGCAACAGAAGAGTTTGCTGATGGTTTAGTGGTTAGGATTCGATGCTTTCACTGCTGTGCCTGGATTCTATCCTGGTCTGGGAACTGAGATCCCTCAATCTCTGCAGTGAGGCCAAAACATGAGAAGGAACCAAACAGAAATTCTCTTGCTCAAGATTACAGTGAATGAAATGCAACAAAATGAAAAATACTACAGAGAGCATTGAAAGGTTGTTGCTGAATGATAAGACGCCGGGATTCTTGGCCTCTGGAGGAGACGGATTCAATCTGGGGCCAGAGACGAGGCTGGATCGCTCAGAACTTCTGTGTGATAAAGTTTTATTAAAGTATAAAGGAGATAGAGAAAGTTTCTGACAAAGACATCAGAAGGGGGTAGAAAGAGTACCCCGCTGCTAGTCTTCAGCTGGATGTTATATAGTCACTAGCAGTCTGTTAATGAAAAGAAAGGAATGTCTTAAAACTCAGAATGGTACCAGATAATTCATCCCAGGTCATAAAATGATTGACTTGAATCTTGTAGAAGGGCAGATTACCAAACAAATAGTTTCGTTTACATAGATTAGGGGAACAATATCTGAGTATAACATACTGGTCTGTCAAGTAGTTTCTTAGCCATTTGGCAGAACTTACAGAGCCTGGGGTAAATGCTTAGTGTATTAACATAGCTTAAGACAAACATTTCCATAAGAAAAAACGTATTGGTTAACTCAAGGTTTGAGAATAGTTAGCTTCAGGTGAAACCAGGTGTCATGGCAACACAGCATTTTAAGAGAAACCTCCTTTTAAATTTGTATAGAGAAGGAAAAAAAAATATCGTGTTTGTTTCCTCATGCCACTTAAGAGAGATAAAAATGTCTGACACTTGCAGCCTATCCTCTGTTTGGAGACCCCTAGACTTCCTGTCTGTTACCCTCTCAGTATCAGTAACAGCAGAAGAAGCTGTAATGTAGAAGACAATTGAAATTACCCAGCCAGAAGACAAAGAAGGAAAAAAGAATGAAACAAATGTGAAAGAACCTGTGTGAACTATGGGATAACATTCACAGAAACAACCTGCACATTACTGGAATCCCAGAAGTAGAAGAGAGGGAGAATGAGACAGAGATTTTGCTCAAAGAAATACTACCAGGAAAGTACCAAATTGGTTCAGATTGAGACATCCAAGTTCATGTAGCTAATAGGTCACCCCTCAGAGTTCATTCAAAACTATCTTATCCAAGACACATTTCCTATAATCAAGACAAAGAGAGACTTTTATAAGCATCAAGAGAAAAGTAAATGCTCACCAAAAAAAGACATTCCCTTAAGAATATCATTGGGTTTCTGACAATAAACCTGGCAGGGCAGGAGAGACTAGGATGATATATTCAAACTGATGAAAGTAAAAACCTGCCAACCAAGAATACTTTTCTCAGGAAGGTTGTCTTTCAAAAATGAAAATGATAGAAAGACTTTCCAAAACAAACAACAATTGAGGAAGTTCACCAACACAGGTTTGTCTTACAAGATTGCCAAAGGGAGTTCTTCAAGCTAAATGCTGCTGCTACTGTTGCTAAGTTGCTTCAGTCGTGTCCGACTCTGTGCTACCCCATAGATGGGAGCCCACCAGGCTCCCCCGTCCCTGAGATTCTCCAGGCAAGAACACTGGAGTGGGTTGCCATTGCCTTCTGCAATGTATGAAAGTGAAAAGTGAAAGTGAAGTTGCTCAGTCGTGTCCGACTCTTACTGACCCCATGGACTACAGCCTACCAGGCTCCTCCATCCATGGGATTTTCCAGGCAAGAGTACTGGAGTGGGGTGCCATTGCCATCTCTGCTTCAAGCTAAATGAAGGATACTAGTTATCCTATAAAAGAAGATACAACAGATTTATAAATGTAAATATGTAATCCAATTCAGAATACTCTAAATATACTCAAAATATACAGTGAATGTGAAATTTGCTTAGTCGTGTCCAACTCTTGTGACCCCCTTGGACTGTCTATGGAATTCTCCATGCCAGAATACTGGAGTGGACAGACTTTCCCTTCTCCAGGGGATCTTCCCAACCCTGGGATCAAACCCAGGTCTCCCACATTGCAGGCAGATTCTTTATCAGCTGAGCCACAAGGGAAGCCCAAGAACACTGGAGTGGGCAGCCTATCTCTTCTTCAGGGGATCTTCCTGACCCAGAAAATGAACCGGAGTCTCCTGCATTGCAGATGGATTCTGTACCAACTGAGCTATCAGGGAAGCCCACAAAATATACAATGGACTTGTAAATGTAAATGTGTAATACAACTCAGAATATTCTAATACTGAATATGGTAATGTGCTAACCAGATAACTGTAGTCTAAAGGAAGTACTAAAATAACTATAAAGAAAAGTTTTTTGTTAGTGGATATACAATATAAAGAGAGGCAAACTCTGACATCAAAACCAGAAAGTGTAAGGGGATAAAAAGGTATAGCTTCTGTATGTGACTGAAATTAATTTATCAGTGTAATATATACTGTTATGTCTGTAAGATATTATACATGAGCCTCACAGCAACAAAAATGTAAAAACCTACAGTAGAGTCACAAAAAGGAAAGCAAAAGGAGTCAGAGCACATCCTTATCCAAAGTTATTAGCTCACAGTTCTAACTGTTGTGCAGAACAGTTGAGGTGTCCTAGTCTCTACAGCACCCTTCAGGATCAGCCCCAGAGAACTC